ATGAATATTTTTGAACCATTTGGGACAGGTCAAGACTGTCTAATCTGTTCAAATTTGTTTTGATTTAGAATGGTTTCAATCCAAACCTGGTCTATTAACATCTATATTCTTATCTTATATCAATGGGTCAGATATTAGCTTAATCTAACATAATCCAACACCTCAACTTTCTTGAATAGAAGAGGCAAGGATTTAAGATTGTTCATTTTTTGTCAACATTTGGGTAGTTGATAAAGAAAATTATATAGCACTTGAAGGATATTTATGTATTTTCAAATACCACTTAACGGCAGGCACTGGATTGGCACGTTTTGAAAGTGCGAGTACTGAATTGTCGCATTTTAAAGTTTGGGGACCAAAATAACACGAAGCCCAAAGTAAAGAGTACTAATCAGGAACTTTCCCATCATTTTAATCATCTCTATGTGTCATCCATCAAGTGGTAATTACCTCTTGTCCTGATACGCCTATGGCTTCATGCCACATTAAATGCCACTTAATTAATGAAAGTCCGGACCATCTGCCTACACAAATTCTGCCCACATTAACTTGCATAACATCACAGCCACACATGAAGAACATCTCATCCTCCTACATAGTATTATGCAGGGGGAGATGTTCACAGTTCACGGGGGTAATGTATTGTAGGTAGATGTTGGCAGAGTTATCGTAAATAGAAGATCCGGAGTCAATTAATGAGGCTTTCTCTCTCAAGACCGGATCTGCTCCTTACAGAATACACCTCACAAGCACATTCCACCATGTAACAGGAAAATCTCTTGTAGTTATATGTTATTATTTATAGGAAATGTTCCTAATACGCGGGTTGATGTGCCTGTTGGGTTGGCGTGATGAGCATATCCTAATTCCTTGCTCTCACCCAAGTTCACTAAATATTTTGTCAGTGAGGCAGCCACATGGTATGTTAGGAAATACTTTCCCAACATCCAAACCGTACCCTTACCTCTTTGAATTTTTCAAGATGATCGGCAGTACATATTTTGCCTAATCACAAGAAGATACTTTGAACAGTCCAAAGCTTGAATGTAAAACAATTACTATCTGTGCCTATCGCCCCTATGGATCGCACAATACACTTTTTTTTGTTCTTTTTGTAAAAATACAATATACATTTTTTTGGGGTATCACACATGATACTTTGAACTATATGTGAAAGTCTCAAAGGGGAAGATGGAAGAGAAAGAGATTCAAAGCCTCTGTTATCATACCCAGACTAATTGGAGCAGATGGTCAAACTCTATACAATAGTTGTGCCCAAAAAAATAAAAAATAAAAAAGCAATAGCTAGCCAAAATGGTTTTTAGGATGCATGAATTTTTTAAAAATGTTGGCTTGATCAAAATTACCCTAAATACATGTTTTAACTAGGTCTTACAACTTGTAGTAATTATTGTTTTAAGCTTATGATTTGATGTAAAATAGATTTAAATGATAATCTAGAACCATGTAAGCTCTGTATAATTACAAGAAATGAATGATTTAACCTCTAAAAGGAGGTTTGTATAGAGAGAGAGAGACAACAAATAATACATGGGAAACAGTTTTGTTTTCGTTGGGCAAGTATTACATCTCTAACACTAGGGGCGGTTCCCAAAATCTTCATCAGACCCACTGCAACCCCAAGTTAAAACACGGTGGACATCATACTTCTTTGACTATTCAAAACGTTAAATCATCTGTATTTTCCTTAATTTTTTATTTTTATTGTTTAGATTTTGAAAAATCCCAAAAGTAATTTCATTCAACTTAATCAGAAATATAAGTAATTCGAATTAGCTGAACTTGTTGGCTGTGGAGCCAATGACAAATACATGGGCCCTACGGTGAGAGATTGGATAGTTGTGAGCCCATTAAGAAGCCACTGCATTTAATTAATCCGATCTCAAAAGTCAAAATAGTCCTTCAGAGTTAAGAACAGTAGAGTGTATGAAATCAAGTACATCTTACAAAAAGAGAGGCTCGTTTTGATGCGTCTCTTTACGTGGGCAGAATGTGTTTTGGCCTTTTCCTGTTTAATTGAGAAAAGATCTAGTCACAGCCTCCAAAAGATGTGAGAAGCCTATTTCAAGAAACTCCAAATGAAGTTTTTTATCTTTTTTCAATTCATTTTCGTATGAACAGACATGCTTTAACCAAACGGTCTTTAAGTTATTAAGATTTTGATGCAAAAACTCACATCATCTTTTGACTGTCAGAATTTTCAAAAGATCTTTAAAAAAAGACTTACCTCACAACCCCAAAATATACTTTGAGACAACAAATATGCATTATTTGCACTTGTAGAGGCATTTGATATTTAATAGATTACATGGGGTGTTATCATTGGTTCCACATCTCAATAAACAGCCATTTAATTTAGCTAATCTGATCTCGAAATATAGTTCCTTAGAACAGTAGAACTTAAGAAATTAAGTGAAGTAGATGGCGACTGCAGTCTTACAAAAGGCAAAGCATACTTCACAACAACATGTGCCGCATTAGTTGAACTTCTAGATACATTTGACATTTAATAGATGGTTCATTTCATTGGTTCCACAGCTCAATAAGCAGTCATTGCGTTCAGCTAATCCAATCTCGAAATATAGTTCCTTAGAACAGTACAACTTAAGAAATTAGGTAAATTAAGTAGACCACCTCTGCAATCATACAAAAGACAAAGCATTATTTGTACTTCTAGAGACATTCGATATTTGATAGAGCAAGAGAGAAGGTAATGAAGTAAACTTCTGCAATTGGCCCGAAAATAGCACCAAGTCAGAGTGGAGCAAAAGACTCCACCAAGAAGAGGTTAATGATAGCTTAGGCGTCATCCCTCATCAGTTCTACACTTCTACCTCTGATTATCACAAACTTCCATTGCCTGTTCAGCCATACAATAACTGAAAAATAGTGAAGATTTTTTAACAGTATTTTAGAGGATTTAGAATCATCATTGAATGATCCTGACTATTGTTATTGATCAGGCCTAAGATCAGCATGAAAGCAATTTGATAATTATCATGCAATAAATATTTAAGGATATAGTAATCAACCAGATATGCCATTCAAGCATTAAAGAACTCAAAACCTACTTAATGAATGATTTACTAAAAGATAAAATAATAAAATCATTCAGTAAAGCCATTTTTTCCATTTCCAAACAGTTCCTTAGAGGGGTTTTACTTTATTTGGTTTATCTGTATTATGGATGAAATAAAAAATAATTAAAAAAAAAACCTGAAGTAAAAGTGTGCCAAAAGTGGTCCCATTTGGAAAGAGTTCAAATGTGATACATATATGTGCTCTACTTCAGTAACATACATTTAATAAGAATGCATACATGTGTACTGAAAATGACAGTTATCACAAGTTTCAAGACATGTTTGTATTCAAAATAAGAACGCATATATGTGTACTGAAAATGACAGTTACCAGTGCGATAAAAACCATGCCGCGAGGAAAAAAGACTTTTAAGCATTCTGCTTTGATCCATTATGAATCGTTGATCACTAAGATAATAAGTTTGATTTAGAATATCCCTATTCACCATATGATAGAGGTGAAATCAATTATTCTTTAGCCAGTGAAACTTAGTTTGGAAGGAGTACGAATATAAATATGTAGAGTGCAAAACCTTATATTTTGTATTGTATTTGTATTCCTTCCAAACTGAACTTAATGGTAAAACTAGAAAAAACAGTTTATGTTTCCTTGCTTCAAATTGGAAGGACTCTACTTCCAATTATTTAAATTCTGAAGGAAATTGACTTCCAAATAAGCGATATTATTCAACTACAAAAAACCACAGAGGTGTTTATGAGGAAAAAAATCTTGATAAAAAGAAATGAACACAGAAGATCATTAATCATGGGCCGGGTAGCCTGGCTGGTCTGGCCCAATCTAAGTCGGGCTTGGACAGGATTTCAAGCCCACTTACTCGGGCTTGGGCCTAAGACATTGGGCCCAACATTTTTACGGATCGGGCTTGGGCTTTCTCAAAACAAGTCCGGTCTGAGCCCGAGCCTGACTTGTTAATGTATTATATAATAAAAAAATATTTTATCTAATAAAAAATATATATAATCATTTGTAGACCTGTTCATGGGCCGGGTAGCCTGGCTGGTCTGGCCCAATCTAAGTCGGGCTTGGACAGGATTTCAAGCCCACTTACTCGGGCTTGGGCCCAACATTTTTACGGATCGGGCTTGGGCTTTCTCAAAACAAGTCCGGTCTGAGCCCGAACCTGACTTGTTAATGTATTATATAATAAAAAAATATTTTATCTAATAAAAAATATATAATATATATTTTTTATTATTCTTCTCTTTTTTCAGGTAATAGTGACTAGTGAGATCTTTTATTTTTTTTTAGATTTTGAGGTAATTTTTAATTGATTAAAAAAGGAAAAGTATTTTTTTCTAAATTTCTGATCGAGCTCGAGCTCGGGCCTGGGCTTCAAACTTTATATGAGGGTCGGACTTGGGCTCAAGACCTAAGCCCAATATTCGGGCCGAGCTCAGACTCGAACCTAGACATTTTTTTTTGTTAATATAAAGGCAAAGCCCAACAACCCCGGCCCATGAACAGGTCTAATCATTAGGGTTTATGAGCTTATTGATAAACTCATAAACCCTTGTTGACAAAATCCTCAGGTTGGATTGGATTTGGATTTTCTAAATTATAAATGGCAATGATTACGCCTGTTTCAATTATAAATAGACTCAAATAATAAATATACGTCAATTTATAGTAATCAACCCAAAACGTTTTAGGAACAGATGATACCAAACACAACCCAAACCCAAAGGATAATGGTATTGTTCATAGAGGATGGGTTAGGACGTTAAGTTCGATAATCCTATTCTAAAGAGTCAGGTTCAACACATTCCTAACCCAAGCCATTTACATCCTACACATGGATGATGGACCCCACAAATTAGGCTGACATGTATTTTGAAATGATTGGGCCAACGCCTGACAAGGTTATAGGATTTTCCAGCTAACATACAAATCACGAACTGTGAAGCTAGCATGAAATAATGAATTAGAGGGAGGAATTTCAGCAGTGGCCACTGGCCAGTACAGTAAATAGGTCAGTCAGACCTCAGACGTTCCTGAGTTCAGCAATGCTTTAAAAGATCACATCTTTGGCGGAACACATCACAATCAAATTGTGGATCAGAAACTCACCACATGATCAGATGCATTGCTTCCGGTTCAGGTGGGAATTTCGTCAATTTCCACCACATCAAAGATGCATCTGATATCACAAAATGCCATTAGTACTATGATAAACCATACATGTTAAGGAATTTTTCTCTTCTCATTACTAAGCATACAGACACATTATCCACTGAGGTTCAATCGCCCCAACTTCGTTGTTACCTCGTGTTCAAATCGAACTCCCCAACTTCCCTCCATTCATCTTGCATTCCTGTCTCTCCATTTTCAGGCTCATTCTCGTCATTGAGAAAATCTTCAGACGGTTCTTCATCTTCTCTCTGAGTATTTCCCCATCCATGCATCATCTCATCCACGTTACCCTGTTCCTGCCCAACCATGTCATGGCCAACTGAACCCTCGTCCACTTGAGACCCTGCAGCACTTCCCCGCATTGGACCACGTGCCATCATCTCAGCATGGGCTTGTGCCTCCACACGAGCTTGCTCTGCCTGAGCCATTGCTGCCATCCGCAGCTTCGCTTCTGCAGCTTCTCGACCAGCCTTCTCCCTGGATTCAATTTCTGCCCTTAACTCTAGCAGGGCTTGTTTCTCATCTTGAAGGAGAGCCTGCTCAATCATCAGCCTCTCCTCTGAACGGAACTCCCCTAAAGCCCGTTTCCGAGATATTATATTGAACGCAAGGACTTGTTTCTCAAAAGTGTTTGTGAACTCTGCAACCTTTGTTGCAATGTTGTAGTCCCACTGCTGCGATCGTGAGGGCATCTGACCTGTTGTGTCAGAATCAAGGATCCTGTCATCTTCTTCAGCTTCATAATCTGCCACAACATGGTAAGGTAGTAGCCTGCATAAATGTATGAAACAAATGAGTAAACAGCTAGATGAGTATATTAATATGAATGTGCAAATTACTGCAACATGCTATGAAGCGTTTCAGACCATGAAAAATACAAAGAATGGGCGGTTGTAAAAATAATCATAATCATACTCCAGAGTTTATCCATGCAATCAATGCCAAATCAAGAGAGGTAGGGTAAAATGATGCAGTTAGACATCCAAGTAGGTTTCTGCGGACGCCGGATCTTCTAAACTTGGGTGTGCACTACAAATCAAAAGTAGAAATATCTTCCACACAGGAAATCAGGAGAACAAACCAAACGTACAAGCGGATGGATCTTCCATTAAGCATTCCATTCGGCCACCCCTCTTTTTTTTTAATTTTCATTTTTTATTTTAAACTTCAGTGAAACAAATTGAGAGAAGAAATAAAGAGAAATCCTTAATCAACCAAACATTTATCCCTCTCATCCCTTTTCTCAGAGATGCCACTGCATCCCCCACCAACACCATTCTTGTGTTTGTCAACACTGGAGCTGAAGAAGACAATTCTTCAGCCATTTTCTTCTTCAGATTGCTGCATCTCCCATCATGGTATTCCTCCTCCCTTGAGTGAATGCTAGCATGAATGTAAGCCTAAATCAACACCATTCTCCTCACCAAATAGTTACCCAAACCCGACGCCCACCATAGTAGAGCATTATCTTGTGGTTAGGTTGTAGGCACAGAAAAGCTATCCTTCTATGGGGGTGATTAAATATTGATACAAATTATGGAATGCAGAGAGGTTTCCTTCCACCAGTTTGTATGTCAATTAGATTCTTTTAGACTTCAGTAGATTGTAAAAAGAAGGGTTTAAGGGGGACAAGTTACAATTTATTACTATATTCTACAATCACGTGTTCATAGTCATTTTGATATTCTCTACATTCTAATATCTGGCTCATGTACCTCATTGTTGTTGAAGCAGGGAAACAGACAATATTTGCCTTTTTTCAGCAACAAATTGTACAAGTGATGACTTATTTACACAATATACAGGCAGGATGTTTTGCAGAAGCTTCTCAACATTTTCAAATTGCATTCTGGTAGAAGAAGAAAACATGCAGGCCATAGTTGTCAAGGCAACGCGTACGCCTAGAAGAAAAAAACTCGCCTCACCCAACCGCCAAGCAGTTTTGTGTACTGTGTTATAAAATACTTTAATATTTTTTATTTTTTGACATTATAATTATAAAATATACATGGTTCAAAGTATCGATATACCTCTGTATCAGCAGAGGTGTATCGGTACTTATAATGATCCTCCCCCTATTTTTTTATTCTTTTGGTTTTCAGTTTCACATTTAAATATAACTATATATATTATTTAAAAAAATGGGTTCCCGAAAACACCTATAAAACAGGTGCATCGGGACCCCAAAGATACAATACAATACGCCCGTTACGGGGTGTATCTTATCGAAATTTTCTTGATTGAACCCTCAAAATTTTAAAAACCTGAACCAATAAGCAAGGGAAGAAATTAAAATTGTCTAATCAACACATTTTCTTCTTCCACATCTTCTTCCACCTTTTCTTTTCTTCTTTTCCTATAACAAAAGTAGGGATTCAGCGCCTATATTTTTTTTTTTTAATTTTCTTTCCTTTCTTTTTTTTTTCTTCTCATAAAATGTTGATTTTCTAGACTTAACATGAAATGTGTACTTCTCTTATGAAAACTACGGATAATTATTTAGGGAAGATGGTTATGAAACCCAGGGAAATACCTTAGGATATATGGTTTTACTTAAAAAAAATCCATCGCCTAGGTGACAAGGCACCCCCGTCACCTAGCCTCGCCTTTGCGCCTTGAAAACTATGATGCAGGCAAAAAAACACCAAGGCATCTACAAGAAAAAGTAAAAAAGATTGAAAGTATAAAATTAAAAAAGAGGGACAGAGGACTTAACGGCCCTTCCATCCACTCATACATTTAGCCTTCTGATTTCATGTATAGAGGATGTGGCCGGTTTTTATTGGTAGTACACACCCAAGTATATGAGCATAAGTGTAGGAGATCCAGGCTCATTTCTGCCAATGTTTTAAGCAACAGAAGACATGCCACCATCCTGAGGCATGAGGTGTAAACCAGAACACAAGAGGCATAAGCCTCCTGACCATATCTTTTTTAATTGATAAATAATTAAAAATAAAATAAGATACAGAGGCAAAAGAATATATGAGTTCAACCATGAATACTTTCACTTCCTACAAGGTAATTCACAAATAAAAAAATTGCATGGTCAGAATTTTCACAAATTTGCAAAACAGAAAATTAGCACAATTTTGAGGCAAAGGACAATGACAATTAGCATGTTTTTTAATGGCAAGTAACTTTAAGTAATTTACATAACAGCATGTAATTTTATGCAGTTAGCAAATTTTTTAAAGCAGTTACCAAATAATAACAAGCATCCCAAGCAGTTGGATGCAGTTTGAGTAATCCTGAACTATCAGGTATAACTATCAAGCCCACCTCTTTTTCTTTTGATAAATAACAATAATATTTCATTAAAATTTAACTCCTCACTTCCCATCAAGGTGGCAGAAAATCTAAAGAGTACAAAGCAGGCTCCAAAAAACATGGAGCTTAAAGACATAAATACAGATCTTTACAAATCACAACCTAGACATCCGACTGCATTTATTCCCTTGCAACCCCTGCCCTTGCGAATGAGTCTGCCAAAGCAATTGCACTTCTAAGTAGCTATTTGAAAGATCCATTCAAGTTGGTACCAAGAATTTGTACCTGTCAAACCATCGGCCTGAATTTCCAGGGATCTCCTCTTGTGTTCTTACCCAGCAGATTATGGTTTTGCATCTCCCACGCATGCACTTGGCCCAGGTGAGGTGCAAGCCCTGAAATGCGCCTAGGCGCATCTTTTAAATCATTGTCCCACGCAGCCAATTTTCTCCCAAACCTCTCTACAATCCATCATCATCATCTAAGCAGTCCTAGTTGGTAAGATCGCCGCTTTGATGTAGCGGAGACCCAGGGATCAAATCCTATTGCCACCAAGGTTGGGAGGTTAAAGGGGATAGGGATGGGCTACCCCCACCGCAAGTTGTGTAGCCCCATTAAAAAAACACTATATAGGGTCAACTACCTGAATCTTGTTTCACCATTACGTTCTGTTTAGAACGAAAATACAAATTAAAGATCCATGACTATGGGAGTTTTACAAAAGTTTTAGTGCCAATTGCCAACCTAAGGCAACCCTCCTTTTTTATCTAGGTTAGGGACTGATGCTGTAAGACAAGAAGTTCACACTAGCAGAGTTGCATCTCTCAACAAGTACCTCCCGTCCTAAGATGAAAGCTCTCTTGGATTGCCTTCTAGTGGTAACCCTAACTACTTAATGGGCCACTCTTTAATCTCAAATCCCAATATACAAGCACACCAGTGTTTTAAAAGCACAAGGCGCAAGGGCCAATTTGCACCCAAGGCGCAAAGGCGCAAAAATACAAAAAATTGCTAAAAAATAAAAAAATGTCAGAAAATTCAACAAAATGCAAAAAATAAAAAATGTTAACCATAATATTAATAAGAAATATAAACTTAAATTTTCAAATTAATGGTTTAAAAAACCTATTATCTAAAATTAAAATACATATACATAACATGTAAAGCATATTCAAATGAAAAATTAAAAATAAAATCAAACATATAAAACATTTTCAAGCATGTAAAGCCCATAATCTCTTTTTTTCCACAATTGCATTACTTCAAGTAGCTAATGTGATGTAAAACATATTACACTCCTAATTCTACGAGTCGCCTTTGTGCCACGCCCCTCGAGGCAAGCCCAAACAAGTCCATGTTAGGGTCTTAAATTCTTAATTCTCACACAAAAAATAATGATTTCATAATTTTAATTGCCTTTTAAGAAGATATTTTATTAAGATGAATGAATGAACAACATTAGCAAATAGGGGGCTCTCGGAGCGTACAATTTTCAAAAGGCGTTTGATTCAAAAAAAGCAAAAAAGCGTACAATTTTCAAAAGGCGCACGCTTGGGCCAAGGCACAAGGCACATCAGGCGCAAGCCTAGGCACACTAGGCAAGCGCCTTTTGAAAATGTTGCACCTAGGACCTGAGTGAGGCGCCTACCCTCAAATGTGCCTCGCATGTGCACCTAGGCACGCCTTTTAAATCATTGAAGCACAATCCTCTAACTTTTTTCCATTGGAAATGGTAACTTCATTAATACCACTTAAGAATAACTTTCCATAATTAAGTACAAGTGTCAAGTCCTAAACAGGTGTTGAGTCCCTATTAATCTTTCTTACAAAACTGCCCAGAACATTCTCTCCCTCACAATCCCTTTTTTAGCCCATGTATCAGCTAAACCATTTTTTTTATAAATAAACTAAACCATTAGCTGATTTCCTTGTCCATTTGAAGCACACACCAATCTCCCTTGTTGTATTGAGGATTTCCGTAATGGGTTGGTTGTCTATACATCTAGGCTAGGCTCCCAACACCAGATTGCAGCTGCTCAATCAACAATTTAGAGTCTCCCTCTATCTCAATTTGGTGTAACCCCAACTGTTTGGCATATCTTACACCTTGAAGCAAGGCCATCACCTCCGCTCTCGATGAGTCCTCCACTACTATTGGCCCCAAAAACATAGCCATAATTCTACCATTTTCATCTCTGAATACTCCCCCTATACCTGAAGGGCCCAGGTTACCTCTAGAGCTCCCATCACAGTTAAATTTCACTCTTTGTTGTATTGGTGGGGACCACAATTCCTAAACAATATGTTTTATGGAAGTTGTAGCTGCCACCACTCCCCAATTCCTATAAATATATTCAGCTGGGAAGTCTTTAAACAAATCCAAAGTTTTCAACCATTGAATAGTCATAATGGTTATTGTTTTTACAATTTCCTCGGATTTCTCCACTCCTTTAAAAGATCCTATTGTTCCTTTGTTCCCAAGTTGACCATAAGATAGCAGC